GGAGATGGGCTGGACATATGCTACTCCACCCCACTAGCAAATGGAGCAAGCAAGTCACCCTCTGGCAACCAAGAGACGGCAAACGAAGTAGGGGTCGTCAAATCAGGAGATGGGAAGATGACTTGAAGCAGACAGCGGGATCATTCTGGCTGAGAGTAGCAATAGGAATTGGAGGAGGCCTATGCCAAAAGGCACACCGAACTTAGGGACCTCTTGTAACCCTATGTTTAGGAATAAAAAGGCTATTATTATTATTATTATTATTATAAAAGGCATTTCGAAGCCGTTGCTATTAGTATTGCAGCCGAAGCTCGAGTATTTGGGCCTCGTGTTGGACAGCAAATGGAGATTCGATCACCGTTTCAAATACTGGTCGTATATTCGTCTGCCTACAAGGGCAACAAAAAAAATACATCTACCATATATTTGAAAATGACGATGCGATGATTGATAATATTAATTTTACATCTTTAGTCTTAACAGTATTACTACACATTCATTTTTGAAGTAGTTATTTCTTTAATTTGTTTATGATTATTTTGTTTGAGTGTATTTTTAAGGCAAGACAAGGCTGCGTATGTATATAATAATATTTTATTTTTAACTAAAATATGAGGTTATATTTATGTAACTATAATTGATGGTATAGTTAGATAGCGATAAATTAAACAATAATTTCTATGAATTTTGAGTTGACAAATAACTTTATTACGCTAAAGAACTATAACTTCTTATGCGCGTGCAGCCACACCTAAGCAGACTTCAATATGTTTTCTATAATTTGAAACATTTTTTACTGGGAAGCACTGCCTTTGCTAGGGCTAGTGTTAGCAAATTCGCCAGTCTGAGCCCCGTGAGCTCGCCTCATGCTCAGAAAAAAATGCACTGTGCGACAGTAAAAGAATTATATGAGTATTATTATTAGTTGCACGATGCCAACGATCGCAGCAGATAGAGAACAATTGTAAATTTTTTTTTTATTGCTTAGATAGGTGGACGAGCTCACAGCCCACCTGGTGTTAAGTGATTACTGGAGCCCATAGACATCCATAACGTAAATGCGCCACCCACCATGAGATATAAGTTCTAAGGTCTCAAGTACAGTTTCAACGGCTGCCCCGCCCTTCAAACCGAAACGCATTACTGCTTCACGGCAGAAATAAGCTGGGTGGTGGTACCTACCCGCGCGGACTCACAAGAGGTCCTACCACCAGTAAAGAGATTGATGCAGCGGGGGAGACACGACTCTCAGTAATGAGGAGAACGATGCAAGGAGGAAGAGGAGGATTATAGTAACTTAAAATATGAAGCTTATTCATCATTTTATCCACTAACCGTAATACAATTCTTTAAACATTGTAGCTAGTCCTCGTCGATTGAAATACGCACTTTGGGAATATTCACCACTGGCAATCTAATGGAATGGTCAAGGAACTCCAATCATGGTGCTTACAGCAAGCTATAACTTCTAAATACCGTGAAGCACAATTAACAGGATCAAGATGGGATTAGACGATGATTAGTTAGTATGTCATAGGCCATGAGACATGAGAAACGCTTAAATGACTCCCACATGTGTGATTTTCCATTGCGTTTCTAGAGACGTATATTTTTCTTTAAGAATTGGCAGGCTCGTAAGCTTGAAGCAATAAATAAATGGATTGAAGTGAACTAAATAGAGACGCGCAAGACAATTACATTCATTAGGAGTCCGTTCGCTCTGGGTTCGTGTTCGCAGAGATTTCCCAGCGGCTCCCGACCGGCGCCGCGCCACAAATAATATTACATTATAATGTTATTACATTAAGGACCTTCTGGAGATCAGCGAGATTCAGCATCACTGGATTTTTTTTTTTTGAGGAAAACATGTTCTTCACGCACCATTGGAAGGGTGGCGGTTAATCGATTTAGAATGAGTGTCAAATGTATTACAGTACAAATGTATGTATATGAACAAATTTTCGACACACGAAGATTAAAAACGTAGTCAGCACTCGCAGGTATTGAAACGTCAATAAAAAGCACCTCTTAAAGCACGGATTGCTAATTGACGANGAACTAAATAGAGACGCGCAAGACAATTACATTCATTAGGAGTCCGTTCGCTCTGGGTTCGTGTTCGCAGAGATTTCCCAGCGGCTCCCGACCGGCGCCGCGCCACAAATAATATTACATTATAATGTTATTACATTAAGGACCTTCTGGAGATCAGCGAGATTCAGCATCACTGGATTTTTTTTTTTTTGAGGAAAACCTGTTCTTCACGCACCATTGGAAGGGTGGCGGTTAATCGATTTAGAATGAGTGTCAAATGTATTACAGTACAAATGTATGTATATGAACAAATTTTCGACACACGAAGATTAAAAACGTAGTCAGCACTCGTAGGTATTGAAACGTCAATAAAAAGCACCTCTTAAAGCACGGATTGCTAATTGACGATACCTGCTCGTACTTGATAATTTATTCGATGGTTTTCGGAAGAACTACATTAAAAATCTTTAAAGGATTAATGCAGTGTTCTTTGATGAAATTAGCGAGAAACATCGCGTGTCGGCTGAAGAAAGTGTTTCTTCGTTAAAGTTTCCATTAGGTCGCAGAGACAGTGGCGAACCGCACTTGAATTTTAACGTGGCCCGTGGATCAAGCTACTTCAACTTAGAAAAAACTTATTTAGTTTGAAATGAAGGTCTCACTTGAATTTTCTTTAGATTGTACAAATTTTCTAGATTATATTGTTGTAGAGGCGCTTTATAAGATGACTCAATCAAAACTGATAAATTCACTATCTTGCTATAGCTTAATTTAATACTGTGACCCATTTTAACTATTTAAAGAATGCAAAAGCTGCGTCAAGATCTCCTTAGTGCTTACGTGATGGTCAAAAACGAAAAAAAAGTGTTTCCAACGTTATGTGTAGCTGACTAGTTCCATAAGTAATACCGTATTGTCATCAATAAAAATTTAACATATGTGATGATATGACGACAACTGTTAGTGTTTAGTGGCTCTTCCAGTACTTGACATAATAATACAACTGGGTCTATTTTTTATTAAATGTACAGCTGCATTGAATGATAACCTATGATAAAATATATTTTTTCCTACCTATTCTAGTGACCTCGACGGGTCATGCTAGATTCACCGAATGAGTAGATGAGCTCACGGGGCTCTAACCTAGGACGTTGCTAACACTAGTTCTAGCAAGAGCGGTGCTTCGCTGAATCTACCATCGGATCGGACGCGACCCATTGAGGAGATCCGGCACGAAACTCAGTGGGCTGGATCACCATGGCATCATCATTGAAAAAAATAGTCGGTGACTTAAACGATCTTGACATTGAAAAAATAATGTATTTTTAACAGATACCCACATAAAGATTTCAATTTTAATTATTAATTAATCAATAAATTGAGAACATCTATGTCCCAATTTGTTAATATTCGTCAAAGGTCCCTCCGCTCTGTTGTCTCGAGAGGAAGAATCCTACAACGTTTTGTTTGGCTGTTGTTTATAAAGTAAGCCGGTCACGTGCACTGAGCTCGACTCGCGAATTGAAATACGTAATAAATATGCGAGAGTGGCACGCATCACCGTCGCTCTGATAAAACGTTCTATCAGAAACAATTGGATATAAGAGTCAGTGAGTGACATCGCAGCGGGCACACGACGCGGCCGCTGTTTCAGAAAGCATTGGACGTCTAATGTCCCGTGTGTCTGACGCCTCCTGAAGCTTCGTCTCACTGAAATGTTAATGATTTGTTTATATGTGATTCCGCGGTTGCACTTGCTCATCGTTAGTTCGAAAATAAAACTATGAAATAGCTGTTTTCACTCTTTAAATCTTAAATTTCAGTAGTGTGTCAATATGTTTTTGTTTTTACCCGGTTCTGTTTGCGTGTACGTCCATCACTCAGTTGCGATTCACGGTACTCTTTAACTGGTAGTCTTAGCAATTTTGTGAAAAATGTAAAGGATTAAAGCAATTGAAGTATTTATGTAGTACATATTCGTAAACAGCGTGGCTGAGGCGCAGTGGTTGGCGGCGCTGCCACATCTGGCTGACCAGGTTAGGACGCGCGACTGGCTGCCCCGGAGAGGTGCAGCGACCAGCGACAATGGATGGGCCGTCTCGTCCGCGGGGCGCTGATTATAACCCGACCGACGAAAAAGCGAGTCACAAAGCGATTGCCCGACCGTGCACGCAATACTTTATTCGGCCGGTTTTTAGAGCGAGGCTGTTATTATTTGCCCAAATCTCTGTAGTTATTTTGAATTTTTGGAACGAAGTTCCTTATGGGACGATGCGGAGGGGTACCCTAACCGGGAAATAATGTCCGTAACGAAAGATTTTGATTAGTAATGCACACAGTGTACGACTTAACTTCGTAATAACGTAAAAAAAATAGCATATTTTTATTAAATATTTTTTATAAATCATTGTGAATAAAATAAAGTTGATAACTTTGTAAAGTAGTTTTATTTTTATTTTTATCAATAAAAGAATCATAATAAAAAATGTATACCCGAATAATTATCCGAACAAAAACAGTTTCACTGTAAAAAATTGCGCCAAGTCTACGTTCATAAAACTCATCTCAATAACATTTGCACTTTACAAAAAAAAAAAGACTCATTTCAATAACTTTCATTCTCTACAAAAAGATGTGAAATACAAAAAAAAAAAGTGTTGAAAATTAAAAAAAAAAAAAAATTATCGTACTTGGCGCGCGTCATTGAGTACCTCAAGTTAGGTGAGCGGTCATCTGCGAGTTGCGTATTGTTTGCATTCAGTTATCTATTTCATGTGTAACGTTGAATAAAGAACATTAGGTACTTTGTATCTAACAACACACCATCAGCGCATTTGGGTTAGCGTGACTGCACAAATTATTTCTTGTAGCAAAGGCTGACAAACCTACAGACCACAGCCAGCTGGTGACTGCTCATATAGTACGGGAAGCTGTGTACTTGTTGATTACTCCTTGAGTATACTTACATCATGTAGCCAGGAGAGTTTCCTAGCAGGAGGGTTGGCCCTCACATGACACTCAAAGTAGACGTCATCTCCCTCCTTGATATCTCCTGCTGCCAACGAGCTGCCCAGGCGAAGTCGGACGACCGGAGGGTCTGAGCGGAAATAAATGCAACTGATATTGAGCATATATCTGTGTAGGTCTCCGGAGTGATTACCGGAGCCCATAGACTATCTATAAGGTACACGCCGCCCACCTTGAAACATGAGTTGTAAAGTCTCACTTTTAACAGTACAACGGCTGCCCCACCCTTCAAACCGAAACGCATTACTGCTTCACGGCAGTAATAGACAGGTTGGGGGTACCTATTATGCAAATCAATATATATATTTTTTTATTTTTTTTTACTGCCCTTTTAGACAGACGAGCATACGGCTCACCTGATGGTGAGTGGTTACCGTCGCCCATGGACTTCAGCAATGCCAGGGGCAGAGCCAAGCCGCTGCCTACCGTAAATTATTATTAATATTTTGCGGGGTTGACTTTTATTACACGATGTTGTTCCTTCACCGTGGAAGTCAATCGTGAACACTTGTTAAGCACGTATTTCATTGGAAAAATTGGTACCCGCCTGCGGGATTCGAACACCAATGCACCGCTACATGCGAATGCACCGGACATCTTATCCTTTAGGCCACGATGTCGTCGAAATTTTGCTTTAAAATATAATTAGCAATACTCACAGACTACGTTGATAGTCCATGAGGTTTCCATAGATAGGGTGGTTACGTTAGGATTTTCGGCTCGACATGTGATGGGTTTTCCGTCATCGTCCAGGGTCGGAACGAAGCTCATCACGCTCATAGTCAGGTTGTCCCGGAGCTCCTCCTGGAGACAAAAAACCAACTCAAACTAGATCATAACATTAATAGATACCCGCACGTGAGATATAGATGTATTGGACAAGCCACATTAGGATCAGGTCCCAGGTGGACCGACGCGTCCAATGTTAATTTGCAAACAGACGGCGACAACATTAGCGCTGCTGTGTACACAGTTCGATAAATTGATAATCAAACATTTTATATTAAAATTACTTGAATTTGTCACAATAATGATGTCATTATTTTTATTTTTACATTTATAGTGCTATATTTATGGGTGCATATATTATATACTATACAATTGAAACATCATAAAATATTTCAAAGTAGATGGTGGCTTCCATGCTCACCAGCTGGTCGTGAGCTACTTTCCCTATCTAGTCAAAAAATCGGTTGTCTGTAAAGTCGGCTTACTGACAATAGTTGAACGTGAAAACGTCATAAGAAAATACTGATGGAATGATTTCATTTTTCAATTATCGTTGCTATAAACTATTGACACCACATTCACTTTTTACTGAACTTCATACTTGACGAAAACATGTAAATGTATTATTGTATAGCAGCTGTCCACGCGGATGCAACGCTCACTCAAGTAGGAAAGAGACAGATGTCGAACGCTGCCGAACGCGGAGGCCGATTGTGCCTCTTTGTCACTCACTCCAAGCCTTAAATGGAACGCCTCAGAGCGAGGTCACGCCGCATGAGTCATGTTTTTCTTGCGTGCAGCCAGCTCCATCGAATTATAAGACGTTGTCACGTCAAAAATCATGACCTTATAAATTTCAAAATATCTGAGTGTTTGATAGTTTTGAATACATTAGTCTTATTCGAATTGTCACGATCGATTGTGGTTGTTTCAGTAAGCTTCCGCGAGCCTGCAAGTGACACTCGGTCACGCTCCGCTATGACTACTCGTCTTGTCGATTCTACTTAGTAAGATTCTAGATTTGTACTCGTACGTCGGGAAAATCTGCTTTAAGCTCTGTTCCAAAGTCTATCCACACTCTCTGGAGCAGCGGCGCGGCGGCGTTCATTTACAGTGTTACTCTAAAACGGTGAATACTTAAACATGAGATAGCAATATTCTATTCTGCCTACAAAAGTAATAAAGATTAGTAAAGTCGGATTAATCTTTATAGAAAATTAATAAAATTTTAATATGGAATTCGTCCATGTAACTTCACAGGTGAACAGATATCAATCTCTTGTATAATAAAGGCTTTGTTTCATCAAAATTTGATGCTGCATAGTCAAAAACATAACTTAAAAAATTTTCTAATTTACTTTTCTCCTGTTAACAGAGCCTCATTTCCTATGTACCTACGCACGATTATATAGTGCGGATCACTAACGGTGTGATACGTGAGTAGTGTGATGATATCGACAAGGTGATGTTGAAGTTGAGAGAGATGTACAAACGACCTGCCCCTTTCTTTTCATTTGATCAGAAGATCATATTGGAACTATCGGTCAACGCACGTTTGTCCACCTGACTTCGTTTTTAAGCCTTCCTTATCCGTTGTCTAATAATGAATCTTCTTTGGTTTAAAAAATATAACAATCAAAATTTATATAAGCGTTGGTGATTTAATACTGAAAAATTGTTAAAAGAAACTTCAGATCGAAATACTAGAAAAACAACAATAAAAAAAGTTGCGTGTAGTAAATAATAAAAAGTCAGCGAAATCCGAACCGCAAGCTCCCGTCCGAACCCGGGGCGTTTTCAATAATGCAACGATTACAGCGCTGCTTCGTTAGGAAGCCGCTTTATTCAGTTTTTCATCGGCACGGAGATCACGCGTCGCGGATAAATCCTAAACGCGACTGGCACACGATCTGCTCGCGGAGCTCAACCCTCGCAATCGCACGTTTGCTTTATTTAATTTTATCTGATTAATGTTTTTGTTTATGAGCAGACATATTTGAGTCTCGTGTCGTCTCGTCCCGAGCATACGGAGGCATAGGCTGGCCGCAATTACGTTCCATTCTGCTTGGAGATTTCATACAAAGTTAATGAGTACAATATAACACACCGCTGTCTATCGTCAGGCGTGATTAGGATTTTCGCTAAGTTGAAATTAGTGAATATTTAAACTAATTAGTAGTAGGTTACTTCAAAAATAATAACGAAACTGTTTACCTCTCATTATGAGTTTAAAATATTCTTTTATTTATTATGAATAAGCAATAAAAAATATTTTGGGCTTTCTGGGCTAATTTCTAATATCTACATAGGTATTCCCTTATTATCGAGCACAAAAGGGAGATGGTTTTTATTTTTCAATAAAGTACATCGAACTTTTTGTAAACAGGCTTCGCCACATAAAAGGCTAGCTATTTATTCGTGAGTCGTCGTGAGTGAGTGCAGCTCCTCGCCTACAGCGCGTTGTGCGAGTTAGTCACGCGCTCGCTCGATGGATGTTATAATGCTACGAATTATTCCGTACGTCTCTCTCCCCTCGCTTTTTATGTGACAGGCCTTTTTATACCTCGATTTGTATACACACGGCCAAGTTACATTACATAACGAATTTACGGCCAATTCGAAGTGCGATATATTTCCACGAGTAGTTAAAACGAATTCCAAATGTAAACATTATGAATATAATTATACATATCTACATATTATATATAGTACTCTACTATGTAAATAAATATGTATGTTAGAAGAGAGGAGTATCGTCGTTTCAGATTGTAAGAACAGCGTTTCGTTAATAAGGATAAGACGTCTGGTGTATTGGTATCGTTTCCTAATTACTGGTGGTAGGCCGTCTTGTGAGTCCGCACAGGTAGGTACCACCATAATGTCTATTTGTGCCGTGAAGCAGTTATGCATTTCGCTTGGAAGGGTTAGAGTAGCCGTTCTTACTGGAAGAGCTAGGACTTAGAACACTATTTTTAAGGTGGATGGCGGCATTTACGTTGTTGGTGTCTATGAGCTCCGGTGACTACTTAACACCAAGTGGGCCGTGAGCTCGTGCACCTATCTAAGCAATAATTGTTTCTATTGTTTAAATAGGTGGACCTTATAATCGGAATGCGTGAGGAACAAGTGAGTATTCAAAATATCTACAGGTTAGTGTAGTTATAAATGTCGTTGAATTTTATTNAAGGTGGATGGCGGCATTTACGTTGTTGGTGTCTATGAGCTCCGGTGACTACTTAACACCAAGTGGGCCGTGAGCTCGTGCACCTATCTAAGCAATAATTGTTTCTATTGTTTAAATAGGTGGACCTTATAATCGGAATGCGTGAGGAACAAGTGAGTATTCAAAATATCTACAGGTTAGTGTAGTTATAAATGTCGTTGAATTTTATTGTGTACATATAGTTACTTGCATGTTAAACTGTAGAGCTTTCGAGCTGTAGTTGTGTGTATATAAATGTACTAGAAGTGATCAGTATGTTTTAGTATTTTAATCAAATTGAAAGAAAGGTGCTTTAAATCTTTTTAAGTGATATAAAATGGTTGTCCACCATTTTTGAAGAAGTTTCCTTATTCCTTATCCGGTAAGACAAATTCTAAAATCGTATAAAATAAGGGCAGGACATAATATAGAAGTGGGAATCTTCAGTAGCAGCGTTCCAATAAACACCAAATCAGTATAACGACCAAACAGAACTCCAAGACTTAAAAAAGCTATTCCGGATAATAGCCACAACCGGCTGCGCAGGCGAAATCTTAATCACGTCGCAGTGTAGTGGCGCGTCAGTAAGTTTATGTGCTGGCATCAGGCCAGAGAGCCTTACTGCACTAAGCGATGATAATATTTATTATTCTGGAACGTAGAACACGTAGTTTGGGCTGTTGTGCATTTTTATGGACTGTGACACTTTGACTAATTTTGTGCCTTGTTCGACAGCTGATATACAGTTGCGATTAGTCAAAATTATGTAGTATACATGTATGTTTGGTAAGTTTGTTTACTTTAGGAACAATCCTTAAGAGATTCTAAGTTAAGTTTATTTGTCCTGTAATGTGTGTAGTCACTAGTGATAGTGATGTATTAAGAAAGTTTATCTGTTCTTTTACCTTTTTCAGGACTAAAAGGATCACGAGAACGTGAATGGAAACACTAGACTACAAATATTTAAAACTATAAAATTCAAAATACGTAGTTGGTCCTTTTTAATTGAGCTGAGCCGCCCTAATAAACTTCGTACATCATCAACATACCGACGTTGACGTTGGCTAGATACATTTCTGAGATATTTCCGTACACCGGCGCACAGAGGTGCCGAGGTACTCCAATATTATCTAGGCTGTAGAATAGCTGAGCTTGTTCATGCATCGCGCGTAATTCAACCGCTTTACTGCGCCCGGATGGTGGCTCGCTCTCCTGTTATTTACTGCTGCATTTTGTGCTGTTCTCTGCGCAAATATTATCTGCGGACTTTACGCGCCGGTCTTCCGCCTTCACATGAGGGTTATTATGGGTGTTGTGGGCGCTTTCGTTAGCGAAATTAGAAGCAGATACAATATTTTACATGTAGTTAGTTTTGAGATAGAAAGTGATCGAGTTAAGTTTTTTTTTGTAGATTTTTGGAGTTTACTCCTTTAGAATCGATTTACATATATAGGCCCGGGGTATGAAAATTATGGGGACCAAAATCGTACTAGCATGTCACACGAAATGCGTTATGCGCCTGATTGCGCATGTCACACGAAATGCGTTATCGCAGGTGACGCCGGGCTGCTGCGCCGGCAGTCCGCCACAAAGCCTCGTACTGATCGCGCGTTTCTCTCATTATTGTATTTTCATATATTTGTTAGTCGTTTGTTTTGTGTCTCGTTAATTTGTTAATAATCTGTAGTGTATCGTGTTGTCGTAATATAGAACTATTTCTCGTATTGTTTCGTTTAATTTTTTATATCCAGTAAACTCCAGTCGTGCGTCGGAGCGGACACACACACTTTTTTTTGAAGTTAAACAAATGTGGACGACTAACAGCTTACTCGTCATATTCCACGATGAAAATTACAAATTATTCCGAACGTCT